ATAACCTCTGTTAAATATTTCTTCTTCTCATTATATTCGTATGTTTCTTTTTATGTTCATTCAATCGTTTTATGTACTGAGCTATTGAGTTGTACACATTTAAAGTTTTATACTATTATTATTATATCATTTTATCAAAGTTAATGTATGTAAGTTCCTATTATAATTCAATATATATAATTCTCTGTTTGTAAATTCAACCCATTTACTTTCTTTTATATTACCTAGTATTTATCTTCCCTAATTTCCACACAAGGCGATCTGGTGAAAGGGCCCGTATGGGACTAAAGTATCGACGAACCCAAAACAAAAATAAAAACCTTAATTGATTGTGTTCTAGATTTTATCGTTCACAGTTGGTAGAGGATATTTGTTCGTTGCTGTTTCAGGTAAATCCTAACAAAATTTACATTAGCGAGTCGCACGCGTGTTCGCTCTGTAACTAAACAGACACGTCACGTTACCAAAATTCACATCAATTCGATTCCTACGTTTTTGTATTGTTTTATTCTACCAAAGGCATAGTTGTCGTAATTACTCATTTACACGTGCGCGCCTCGCATGTAACACGGGCGAGAGCAACCTGGATCCCGACAGTATAAATCGCATCGGGATCCCGAAACATCTTCGGGTCCCGAATGATATTTTCGAGAACTTTTCCGTCTAACGACAAAAAATTATACTATACGATACGATACCATATTGAATCTTCAGGTTCATGATATGAACTATAAATGCTAAATAAGTTGACGATTCCAAATGGAATCCTCCGGTTGGACAGGGTTAATAATACAACCTTCAGTACACATTTCTTCGTACGTTATGTTTTTATTAAGTAAAATAAATAAAGTGGCAGTATTAGGGACATTTAATCTAACATACAGCATACAGGCACACATGTAATATTATTTTAAATTATAATGTAAAAAACATAATTATTGCCAGACAATGTCGAGTAATTATGTTTTAACACATTATAATTTAAAATAATATTATATATGCCTGTATGTTGTATGATAGATTAAATGTCCCTAATACTGCCACTTTATTTATTTTACTTAATAAATACATAACGTACGAAGAAATGTGTATTGAAAATTGTATTATTAATCCTGTCCAACCGCAGGATTCCATTTGGAATCGTTAACTTCTTTAGCATTTATAGTTCATATCATGAACCTGAAGATTCAGTATGGCATCATATTGTATAGTATAATGTTTTGCTGTTAGACTGAAAAGTTCTCGAAAATATCATTCAGGACCCGAAGATGTTACGGGACCCGAATATGTTTCGGGACCCAAATATGTTTCGGGACCCGAATACGTTACGGGACCCGACATCTGTCGGGATCCCGATGCGATTTATACTGTCGGGATCCCGGCCGCTCTCGCCCGACTTGTCCCGACCGGACCCGAGTCTCGGGAATCCCGTGATTTCAGGTACCGGCACATCCCTGCTTTTTTTCTATTATCTTTCCTTTTTGTTCATTACTACTAAAAGTGATAAATTTTTATCCGAACACAATAAAGCCCACAATAGAAATAATTTGTACTTGTATTCCCGTGTGAACGTGTTAATTTCATAAAATCCCTATACATACTTCCATTACTGAATACACATATATAAATAATATGAAATTTCAGTAAGTGTGTTCGATATTCGTTTGCTCTTAGGCATTTCTTCTTCTACGAGATGAAATATTAAATTAAATTGTGGTAATAAAAGACATGCGATTTTTTCTGTTCGCATGAACTTCAATCATGTTTTATAAATTTAGAATTCATTGTCAACGTGGATACTTTTAGAGTGTTTGACACTTGAATTTTTAAAATCTAATAAGTAAGTACACGCAATGAAATATAAGCAAATGAAATTTTAAAATAGGTGAAATATATTATGAGTTTCGTTCTCGAGATTTAACACGTTGAGCGCCATGTCAGCCATCGGTGGCTGACACTAGACTTTCCGTTTAGGCCGCGTCACCCATCGGTGGCTGACAGCGTGTAACATGAGAACTATAAAATTTTACACTATTTTACGGAATTACAGAAAATTTATTTAAAATTTACTTAATTTGGTATCATTACAGGATTAATGGGATTCATTGTAACATGGCAAACATAAAAATGGTTTTCCTTCACAAGTATTACAAAATGTTACAACACGCTTGGTCTTTCTCCTTGCCATCACTCTACCATCTTTTCTTACATTTTTGTCATAACATAATTTACAGTACTTTCAAACTTCAGAGACTTTTCCCGATTTTCTTTCGAATTTGTGTTTTTTTCCGGATCTTCTTGCAATTCTGCTCGGTGGAATGTTTTCTTTGTCACAACTTGTAAGTTTTTTTTTGCTTCAATCGAAGCGGCGCGCGTGGCCTGAACGGGATTGTCTTAGAAATACGCGTGGCGCTCAACGTGTTAACTATGTAGTACTGCTATTCCACACATGATATCGCCACGATCTTTAGTTAACAAAAGACAAATCTGCCTGCCTCTTACGTTCTCCTCGCGTCGTCAATCGTCGTATTGTTTTCTCGTGTGTGATACGCCACATCGATAGTGACTTCTTTTTATTATAAATAGTGCATTTTATTGTTTCTATTGAGGAAAACTGGGGAAATATTCTCATGAGAAGAGGCGCAAATCGAGGTCTCGCTCGCGGACTCCGGTGAGCGAGTTGGAGGAATTGCGCAACGAATTTAAGAAGTTAAAGAAAGAAGTTCGGAGTAGGCGCCATTCGCAATGGTCGCGTGCCCGCAAAATAAATGAAAGCGCGGCAAGAGTTGGCCATTCTTATGATGATGAATCGCATAGGCGACAAAGATCTCGTAAGTATAATTTCATATTTGAAATTAAAGGAAATTAGGACGGTAGGCTCATACGAGGTATGAGATAAACCGTGCCTCGTTGTAGACGGTGGGCCCTCACGAGGGGAGTGGACATACCGTGCTTTGTGGCGATAGGCCCACAGGAGCTGTGGAATAAATCGCGCGAATCGGTCGGTATGACAGATGCCGTTGTTACCGACGATCGATAACAGATTTGTCATTATTTGCCATTCTGTACATACATAAGATCTTATGCATCATCGAAGATCTCATTGTTATCGGACAAAGAGGATCTCGAGGTTAGCAGTCTGCTTGATAACTCTGATCGGGAATTGCAAGCAGCAGACAAATCCAAGGACAAATATGTTGAAGAAGTAGATCCTCTGGATGAGGAAATGTTACAATTTCACGGAGAGAAAGGATCAACAAGTGACAGTAACGAACTGAATTTACATTTAGAAATCGGTGACCGTTGGCAGGTTCGGGTGTAGAATGGTCTCACTAAGGATGAGAAACAGGAGCTTCTCCGAAAATATTTTCGTAAGGGTAACTATAATTTTGAAACGCCCGAACTTCAATTAACGACTCGATGAAGAAGCGAGACAAATTTTTTGCTACGGATCAGAGTACTCTGAGTTCGGCAGATGAAGGGAATAGAGCAGAGGTTCTTAAATGGTTGGAGGACGCAGGGAAACTTATGTCCGAGGCCTATTTTCAAGTCAGTAAGACGAGAAAGGTTTTTATATATCCTAGTTTGGATCGAAAGGCAAAAGATCTTCTGGAAAGAGCGAAAACCGATGCGTTCCTTTTTGGAAAGGAATTATCGACGAGACTGAAAGCAGCAAAATCGATGGAGAAGGTCGGGTTGACCTTGAAATCCCATCAACTTGGGAAAAAGGTGCCGCCCGAAACAAATGTGTCGGGAAACTGGACAGTCCCGCCTGGAAGGAGCCAGGGCTATTCTCAGACGGGTTACAGGCCAAAAAATTATCATCAGGGAGTGCATCGCGGGAGGTATCAGCCGGAAAAAGCGCAGAACAATGCCTTTCGCTCACAGGGCCAATTTCGATCCCGGATCAACCCACAACAAATTTCAACACAGAAATAGTAGGGGTAATACAAATAGCGGGCAGGCTCAACAAATTCCGAAGAGCCCGGTCGGAGATTACTAATAATAAGGTGATATTGAATTGCATAAATGGTTACTCAATTCCTTATGACGAGTTGCCGCGACAGCTTTGAGTGCCCTCGGAACCCTCATTAAATGCTTCGGAAGAACTAGAATATCTGAATGCGATCACTCATTTGAGGAAGCTAAGAGCAATTAAAACATGCTTAGCCTGCCCTGATCAATTTATTTCCAGATACTTCCTTGTAGCCAAATCGAACGGTACTATGAGATTCGTCCTAAATTTAAAAAAGCTTAATGAATTTATTACTCCAGATCATTTTAAGATGGAGGACATCCGAACAGCGACGAAATTGGTGTCCCAAGGATCGTTTATGGTCACCGGGACGTTAATTTTTTTATTCCGATTCGACGGTACGATAGGAAGTATCTCAGATTTTCTTGGAAAGGTCAATTATTTGAATTTACATGTCTCCTATTTGGTTTATCTACAGCGCCATGGATATTTACGAAAATCTTGAAATCGGTTACAAATTCTCTGAGAATGGCAAGCTTCATGTCAGTAGTTTATCTCGACGCGAGGTTGTGTTTAGATTCGGATAGCATCTCTTGTCTAAGGAATTTGCAAAGAACAAGAAAATCTTTGGAGAAGCTGGGTTTTGTCATCCACAACGATAAAAGTAATTTAATTCCGAGTCGGATTTGTCAATTTTTAGGCTTCAGTATTAATTCCCGTAGAATGACACTCAAACTTCCTGAAAAAAAAGAAAAGATACTGCACAGCCTTGGAAGCTTTAAAGAAACGGATGAATGCCGTATTAGGGATTTCGCCCGGTTAGTTGGATTGCTGTCGGTGTCATGCTTAGCGCTAATATGGGCGGTTGTATACGAAGTCCTTCGAACGTCAATGATATCTAGTGTTATATCCTGTATTTCATAACCGCTTTGCATTGCACATTTTTGCCATATTACTTAATTCATTCCACATTTCATTTCTTTGAAACCATAACGAGAAATGTCGACTGTCAGCGCAACCACTGACCCACTCGCGATTAACCAGAACCATCAGATTGGAAATGCTTAATCGACATTTCTCGTTGCATCATGTACTAAGTGACCTAATGAAATCATTACGATTTCATACAGTCACCGGGACAATATAAACTCTCGATTGAAAGGCTAGGGACGAGTCAAAGTGAGAAAAGAGTCAGAGTCAGAGTGTGTCAGTCAGTCAGTAAGCTGAGGCTCATATTCGGCAGTCGAGCCAGACGGTGCTTCGTCGGCAAGCTGAGCGACAACGGTCTCTCAGCTGTTCAGATCGGGTTTCGCGACTAATATTCGGATATCTCTTCCGTGTGCGACACGACTTTGCGATTACGCGCGGCCTAACAGGCAAGTTCGATAAGACACCGGACCGCGAAGTGTGACGTCCGAGACGGTGACAACGTATCCCGCAGTGCCCGACCCCTGCATCACGGCTCCGAGCACCAGCGAGTCTTCCGCCCTTATAAGGACCCGTAATCCCGATCAAACCGACTGAAACCGAAGCGAGCGTATCATTCATCTTCATCACCATTGGTATGTTAAGACTTATTTGTATCTTTCATTTTTATTTGGATTGTTAGAATATATCTTATTATTGTTATAACCGAGAGTGATTTCCTATTCCTCCCGTTCCAAATCCAAACCGCGTACTTCACCGATAAGTTTAGACAGGGCGTGCTTTAGCACCTTAAAAGAGCCAGGACACGAAATTATAAATAAAGTAACGACCGCAACGCGCGACGTAACACTAGCCTTAGTAAAAAACGGTAATAATTATGATGCAATAATGCCATTAAAGGAATTATTGCAATCTGATTTTGCGTGGTGGATAAATGTTATTCCGGAAGCATTTAATCCAATTAGGTCAGGCCAGTTTTACATGGATATTTTTTCAGACGATTCCACGTCGGGCTGGGGGGTCGTATTGTAAAGGTGAACTGACATCTGGTTTCTGGACAGAATCAGAAAGAACGTATCACATTAATTGTCTTGAATTAGTGGCAGCGTTTTTTGGCTTCAAATGTTTCGCAAACAACTTATCAAAGTGTGAGATATTGCTGAGAATTGATAATACTACAGCGGTCTCGTATATAAACCGAATGGGTGAAATTCAATATTCGAGAGTTAATGATATAACGCGAAATATTTGGAAGTGGTGCGAAGAGAGAGAAATCTGGTTATGTGCATCCTATATTACGTCTAAAGAGAATGTCGAAGCAGATAGGGGTTCACGTGTCAAAAATATTGATACAGAATGGGATTTGTCAAATACAGCGTTTTCACAAATAGTCAAAGCTTTTGGTACTCCGTCCATAGATTTGTTCGCGCCAAGATGTAATTCCAAATGCAATGATTACTGTTCTTGGCATCGAGATCCAGAGGCGTTAGCGGTAGATGCGTTTACATTAAATTGGAAACACGTTAATTTTTATGCATTTCCTCCCTTTTCGATGATTCTTAAGGTGTTAAGAAAGATTATACAAGACCAGGCACAAGGAATTTTAGTATTTCCAAAATGGTGCGAGTGGTTTTTATTCGTAGCTACTATTCAGTAGCTACGAATAAAAATTATATGGTTTAGAAAAAATGTTATGAGCAGAAATACTTATAATATTTAGTAAACAGAAATATATTCATCAATATGTAGAGAAACGTAACATTTGTGATATCATTAGAAAAAATATACTAAAAATAGAAAATTAGTATAAAATTATGAAATATAAACAGAATAATATGTATGTAGACAGAGTTTGGAACATCAACATAGTAAGAAGTACTCAATACGACAAAAAATTCGGGAAAGATTGTTTCTAATATCACTCTGTGGAATTACATTCAGTTACATAAATCTTAAGTATTAGGTTGTTACAAAGGTCTGATACTTCCGAAGATACATTATAAACATATTGCCAATTTTATTGATAACAGTTGGTGTTCTACAGTAAACTATATTTATCCATTTCATTTTATATTCTCAAAATATTATCGTGCGGAAGTTTGTCAATATACAGGGTGAGGCACGTAAAACAGGTCATCTGAATATCTTTTCTGTTAGTGATGATAGAAAAAAAATGTATCAGACCAAACTTGCATAGTATCGAGAATCACATAATTTCGTGTGAATAGTTTTTTGATAGATGAACGCGTAGAGGTCACATGAAAGTCAACTTCGCTTTCTTAACTGGAGAGACATGTTCTTTTACGTCCTTTTACAGACAGCTGATTGTACGTGTATTAAAACGGTCTACTAGATGGTACGTAAGACATCATGTCTTTGCATTTAAAAAACGAAGTTAACTTTCTGGGCGTAGCCAGGGGCAGGATGGGCATCCCCCCTCCCCCTGGACGGAAAGAAGTGGCTTTTGTCTCAACCATCAAGAAAAAAAATGGCTTTTGTATCCCCTTCCCGCCCCACCCATCCTAGAGTTACAAAATGTTTGCATAATATTTAATACTGTAGTATAATTTGAAACACGACCAACATCCTCTATTAAGAACATGCATACATTCAGTCGACACTACAGTCGATGTGTTAATATTTTTGCCCCCATCCCGCCCTGACTGATAACCTGGCTACGCTTAGCACAACAGCTTGGCCCAGAGCACAAATTATGTGCTCCTCGATACCATGCAAATTTGGTGTGACACATTTTTTCTATCGCCACTAACAGCCAAGATATTCTGGCTGATATGAAAAATTTATCAACCGCTTTAATTCCAATGCGATAAAAAACAAGTGCGTCTCGCCCGAAACGGGAGAAAGTACCGATGCTAACTAAAAATAGTTGTCCCGTCTCGGAAAAATAGAATTATCCAGGATACTTCTATGTTGAAGAAGACTCGTAAATCATAGGATTTCGCGGACACGAGCAACGTACCTTGGGGATACTTGTTAATTTGATGTTCCATAAAGAGCGTGCGTAACTCGTCCTCTTGGGCCTCGGTCCAGAGGCTGCGCGAAACTTCCTTGTTACCCGTTCCCGTGTTGTAACCCTCGACGACCTCGGTCGCGTCATGAGTGGTCTTCCAGAAGAGCAGCTCCATGTACGACTTCCGGTTCTGCTGCGCGACTTCGATGAAACGACGGATTATGAAGACTGCAAACTTTTGAAGTTCCTGTAAGGTAGACTCAGTTTTCATCGCTGGAAAGAGACGTACTTCCGGTAGCCATTAAACAGACTGCAGAAATGTAAATTCGTCGGTAAAGTCCTTTCGAAGTTAGCAGACAAACAAATCGGAGAAGAAAATGTGTGTAACAGCGAGGAGCGAACAGAAGTATTTGAACATTTTATTGGTATTGATATCGATACAGTTGTACTGTTTTTACTTAAGCAAAGAGATGTATCATCGTTTCATAAAAATTTGACAGTTTCGATTATTTGCATGGAAAACCAAGGAATGTTTTGTATATGATTCTACGCGATATTACTGTTTGTACGACTTTTTAAAGAGGCATTTACAGTAAAATAACTTTACTCGTTTCAAATGGACAATGAAATACTGTGGAATGAGTATGAAAAACAAAAATTCTGAAATGGTGATGGCGTATTAAAAAAACTCTGATTCTACATTTTTGATTTATTTTTTCGGATAGAATCACCTTTGAAAAATTGGTGCTGAATTATTGAGAAGCTTCTGAGATTGTAAACGGTCGGTCCTAAATATAACCGAACTTTTAAAAAACAGAAGAAACTAGTAGCGGCACCTACACGAAAATTCTGCCGTCAGGAAATATCTCCTTCCATTATTATGTGAAAGTTTTATAACATGTGGATCGTTAGAAGCCGAGTTATAGCATCTAAAATAGCAGTACTTTTTTGGTTCTGGTAAAAAAGTGCCAACATTGGTCTGTGTTCAAAACTTACTTGGTAAATCATTAACCATCAATTGATGCAAAAAATGTATGACGATAATTATTTATCTCGCACACAAGTTTACGGCTGGTTCAAACGATTTGAAGCATCGAGAAGACAATAACGGCGATGATCCAGATCATACGGGAAGAGGAATCACCGATAAAGACATCGAAAAAGTGTGTGAAAAAAATGTTCAGTATATTTGTTGGAAAATGAGCCAGGATTATGAAAAGACACGATTTTTCGCATTTTTTCCAAACATTGGCACTTTACAAGGTTTGTGCATGGTTTGAACCTCGCACATTGATTGATGACCAAAAATTGGATAGAGTTGACCATTGTAAAGACATTAAGACTGCCTGAAAGGAACCAAACGTCCTCAAATCGAGTGTCACTGATTTACTCTTGGTTAATGGATTAGTTTTTGTTTTCATGGCTTAAGGGGTGGGATTTCTATTTCTTTGGCTAAAAACATAGCAAACTTTGGGAATTTTTTAAAAAGAAACTAGCGATGCGATTCGTCTGAAATTTGTACCATATTGTTTTTCATCTTTGAAGAAGTTACAGATTTCTTTAAAATTAATTTGTAGTAATAAATATAGAAGTTATGCATAAGCGACCATCATGCAACGCAAAGTTCGTCGCCTGCTGGTGCGCATGATATCTATCTTCCAGGTAATCTTAAACGGAAATATGAAATGACGTTTTACTGTATAATATGTATTTTAGTATGACGAATCAGAATAAAAAAATTTATTGAGGAAGTTGTGAGTTTTCAAATCAAAACTTTAATTTTTTATATCAAAATTTGCCAATTTTTTTTATCTAAAGAAAGAAATATATAACTTATCGGTATTCTGGTTCGTTAAACGATAAAGTAATGTTTGCTGAATACACAGGCCAAATTTGAAGGTAATCGGTTCAGTGATTACAGAAATATCATGCACAGCACCTACAAAGAAGCTGTTTCGAAAGTAGCGTTTAACACTAGGTTTACGGGACACGTGATTTTGACGCATTTCGAATGCTTTCTAACCTCGAAATTCTCTATGTGGTATACCTATATCTATAGCTATGCATTAATTTCAGAGATCATAAATTGTGTATTATATAAAATAAGTTGTTTTTTAAAGAAAATCTGCGGGTTCGTTGATGCGTGCCGTGGAGATACCTACACGATAAGTGCCCGTAAACCTCGTGTTAAATTAACCCGTAATAGACTTCATATCTGCGCTCGAGTCGATTAAGAGCTCATAACTTCAAAAATTTTATGAATTTCCACTTGACATTTTGTGGAGATATTCTTAAGATATTAAACTAAAAGATTCCGTAAAAAAATCGATTTTTTGACCCGAACAATAAGATTGCCCCCTTAAAATAACCGTGAAAGGAAAGCGTTATATAACGACATCCCAGACATTCAAACTGCCATGACGAGGATTCAGATACTCCACAAAAGGACACAGGACACTCATTTGATACATTGCTTGACCATGAAAATCGTTGTATCGGCGCAGAAGGAGTGTATTTTGGATGAAATGAATCACTATTTCCCCAAAAGTTTCTTGTGTTTTGTTATTTTTAAAAAGTTCGATTATATATGGGACAAACCTTGTTTTTCTTGTGAGAAAATGTATATTATCGATATATCCATTAATCATAACAATTGTTAATGACAGTGAGTTTATTGAAAGTGTTATTTACAACTATTGAAATTATGTTACTAAAATGAATTATGTTAAATTACCTTATGGCCAGGGTATTTGGATTCGAGAATCCTTTGGAAAACTTGGAACATAGATGCCTGGAACATCATTCCCGGCATTTTGCACTCGTATGCAATTCGGTATAACATTTTATTAACATAATGATTCACTTCATCTGTATTTTTATCGAACTGTCGTAGCAGAATCAGCATGGCTTTGACAACTTTTACATTGGCAAACCTTAAACAGAAAGTGTTGTTAGACAACGAAAAAATGGAACATAATTTGTAATTATTGAATTAGTGTCGAAAGTTTACAAACGAATGTCTACACGAGTAAGTTGTTAGTCTTAGCATCGTGATTGTCATTACAATGTAAACAGAATGTTATTTACACCTATACATTTGTAAGTTTTGTTCTGTAATAGTACTCAGGTTTTGATATTTATTAATTTAACGCAATTTTATGTCGGAATAGGTGTGAATCTTTAATTTGATCGGACTAGTAGAAATAAGGTGTTAATGTTATACAATTTAAATATTCATTTTACCTATGGAGGAAGTCAGAAAATTTGAAATCGGTTTCAACCTTAACAGATCGGTTCGCTTCTTCTTCTTCCTCATCCTCCGAGAAATCTTCTAGAATGATATTACTTTCACGGTAGATTATAATAAACTTTATTTAAAAAGGTATTATACGAACTCTTCTATTATAGTTTACCTGGAATATCATTAAGGAGGTGTTCGAGATTTTCTCCCTGGCCCGTTCCGCTTTGTGTAATAGGATCGTCTTCGACTGAAACAAGCAAACAACGATTTATTAATTTTTTGTATAATAATGTAATACTGCCAGAATTAAACGTCGCTATTTATAATAGACTAGTTATGAGAATGTGCAAGAAGTAATATTTATATACAAATTATTTTGTCTTGTTTGAACATTATATTTGAATTAGACATGCAAAATGTCCATTAGGAGGTAAAAATGTAAATA